GATGATCAGGTTAAGTTAAGGGGTCTGCGCATTGAGCTGCGCGCTGAGATTAACCGTGTCATATTAGAAGACCCGGAAGTTATAGACTGCACGACATTCATTACCACAGATGCACTTAACGAACAACAGCAGCTGGTCTGCTTCTGGGTGCCAGCATTAAGCCATGGGGATAAGTTTACAGCCGGTGAGAATCGCTATAAAATACTAAAACTATTTGATCTCATCAGGGCGCGGCTTCCAGAGTATATGATTCCGTCCATGCTCATCCCTATCCGAAGGGTACCAATAACAACATCCGGAAAGACTGATAAATTGGAACTGCTAAAGCATTTCCGAACGTTAAATCTAGAAACATTACAATTGTGTTCTTGTGTGACCGAAGCTCTCAGTGATAAACGCGAATTCTCAGACACCGAGATGAGAGTCGCAGAGGCTATTGCCAAAGTTGCTTTAGTTTCACAGGCAGACATCGGCCTTCACACCTCATTCTACAGCCTGGGTCTAAATTCAATCTCAGCTATATCTTTGTCAAGACATCTCAAACTGAATGGTTTTGGGCAGGTAGATGTTTCGGTAATTATGAAATATAACACCGTGTATCGCCTGTCCAGGAATATTGAAAGGAGCAGTTCTCAACTAACAAAGAAAAAATGCTTGCCAAATGTCGGATCATTATTTTCTCGCGAATTTATGGAAGAATTGAGAAAGAATGCCGAAGGTTCCGGGTGCCTGATTCGAAAAGTGTTGCCATGCACACCATTGCAAGAAGCCATGCTTCTGCGAAAATACATCGGCAACTCCACGGCTTACTACAATCACCTCCTTTTTGAGGTTAGGGATGTTGGGAAACTAAGGAACGCTTGGGACTCCATGGTCCAGAGGCACGACATTCTTCGTTCCTATTTCGCTTCCACGGGTCAATCTCGGTTTTCCTTTGCGCAAATCGTTTTGGATTCGGTCAATCTGCCTTGGAATGAGATCAGTAAGACGATCAAAGAGCTCGACAGCCATATAGAAGAACAAAAGCGTGAACTTGCAAAGGGCAAAGAAAATACTCTACCCTATTTATTGACGGTACTTCGAATAGCTGAAAGCGGGAAAACGCTTTTTCTATTCATAATCCATCATGCGCTATATGATGGCGAAGCTATGTCACTACTTCTACAGGAAGTTGAACTTGATGTTTCTGGGAAACCCTTACCCCAGATAGTTCCTTTCGATCTATACCTTGAGCAGATGGTGGCAATGGATATAGAAGAAACTGACCAATTCTGGCAGCCACTTCTCTCGGATTTTTCTCCTTCTCACCTACTTGACGCTCAAAATGCAAATCGTAGTACCTCAAGGATATTTCAGACTGTTGAGGATGACTTTGGTACTCCCCTGAGTAAAGTTATGGGGACTTGCAAAGATCTCTCGGTGACTCTCCTCACCCTTGTCCGAGCGGCATGGTCAAAACTATTATTGTTATACACGCAAAAGCCCGACATTTGTTTCGGAAACGTGTTCAGCTGTCGAAGCATCCCTGTGGATGGAGCGGAGCGCATCATTGGCCCGTTGCTTGAATACGCTCTGCATTCGTATTAAAGAGAACGCGAATACAATGAACATATGGCATTGCTAAGCATCTACAGGATACAATTCAGCTGTTATGCCCTATCAACTAACTTCTCTTGGCCATCTACAATCAAAATTCGGCCACAACAATTCCCACCTCTTCGATACTTTAGTTATTTTACAAAAGAGCATTCACCGCTTGGATGATAAAATATGGGAGTTGGTTGAAGAAAAAGGAGACATGGACTTCCCCCTTGTCTGTGAGGTTGTTCCAAATGATGAGGCTGATACATTGAGGTTAATCATTTATTACGATGATGCACAATTCGGTTTAGAAGATACGAAGATTATGCTTCGCAGCTTCTCAGCTTCTCTTCAAAATGTGCTCCTCTACCCGTCGGGTAGAGCGATGGATTCAAGTATTCTTGATCCTGGCCTTCCATCATTTGTAGACGAATTACGCCGACGTCTGACACCAGCTGCAGAGGCTGGGAGGCCTAGCTGGGGTGAAGGTGAGAAACTGAGCTTATGCTCTGGTAAAAGTTCTCTCCAGATCCGATTAGTTCAGGAAGTACTATCGACCCTGTCGAATATCACACACACACATATTAAACCTCACACCACGATATTCCAATTAGGGCTCGATAGTATAAATGCAGTGCAAATATCTGCTAGATTTAAAGCTCTCGGATACGAAATAACTGCGAGCGACGTTCTTGAGGTAATTTCTTATTTTAGAATTGACTCTTTTCCTTCGACACTATGCTAACAGGATGTTAGAACCCGTCTGTAGGCGAGCTTGCATCACTCCTCGTGCGAGAGAAAAAGGTTAACGATAGTCGCCTTCTGTCATTTAACTTCATGTCCTTTCAAGCCAGCCATTGGCAAACTGTTTGCCAGCAAATCGACGTTCCGGAGAAATGTATTGAGTCAATTCGTCCATGCACACCTGCACAATCAGGAATGTTGGCTCTGTTTACAAACTCCGAGGGTGAGCTGTATTATAATCATATAATCTTGGAATCAACTATTTCCCTTGATCTACAGACTCTGAAAGCAGCGTGGACTGCCTTAACAGAAATTCATGACATTCTTAGAACAGGTTTCACTAGCATTCGTGATGAAGAGGCTCCCTTCGCCGCGATCACTTACCGAAGTGGGACATTTGGACTTCCATGGGCTGAAGACGCAAACCTGACAATTAAGGGAGATCAACAATTGTCAGGTAGAAAGGAAGTCTCAAAAAAAGCCTTCTTACACCTTCATCAACCGCCGTGGCATGTATCAATACAGCAATGTGAATCGAATGTACTAATGCAATTCTCTGCTCTTCATTCGTTGTACGACGCGCAGTCCCTAAATTTGCTTGTTTGTGATCTTTCTAGATTACTGAAATGCGAGGTGCTAGATCCAGTGATTCCGATTTTACCAGTTCAGGATTATATCATTTCTGCAAGTAACCAGGTATACAATGATTTGGAATGTGAAACCTTCTGGAAGGAATTTGGGAAGGACCTTTGTATCACAAAGTTTCCCGATATGGGCCCACTGCATCAAGAGAAGCGGGTAGGTGTGATAATTAAGTCGTGTTCCAAAACGCTCCAATCTTTACAAGAGTGCTGCAGAAATGCCGGTGTCACCCTTCAGGCTGCGGGGCAAGTAGCATGGGCTCGAATATTGGCATCCTACACAGGAGAGAGCAGAGCTACATTTGGACTTGTGCTGTCTGGGCGAAATACCTTCGAAGATGCACAAAAAGCTGTGTTCCCGTGCCTTACAACCGTTCCTTCATCATACATTATCGAGGGTTCTAATAGAAACCTACTAGAGCGTGTTATGAAGCTAAATGTGTCATTGGCAAAATACCAGTTTACCCCATTATCAAAGATTCATCAGCTGGTAGGATCTGGATCTTCGCTCTTCGACACGATATTTGTATTTCAAAAACATACGACCACGTTTCAGAATGATATCTGGAAAATTTATGATGAAGATGCTAGAACTAATGTAAGAATGTTCGCTCTGTCTTGTCAGGAGAAGTTACATATTTGGAGCTAATATGAATCACAGTATCCAGTTTCAATTGAGTTAATACTTAGGGACGGGAAGCTTGAATTCCAACTCACTTTTGAGACCGATATTTTACCAGAACCCCAAGCTGAAATTCTCTTGAGACAGCTTGACGATCTTTTAATCGATACACTTTCCTACCTCGACTCACCCTGCGTTTGCTTGACAAGAGAGAATAAGGACCTTCTGTCAGCCGTTGCAGCGAAGGAAGCCAGAATTTCGTCTCCCGTTAAATTGGTGCACCAATTTGTTGAAGTACAAGCTCAAGAATCCCCGTCAAAAATAGCTCTCGAGTTCGCATCCAAAATCCCTGGGAAACAAGGGCTTTTCAAGCGAAAATGGACATACAAAGAGTTTAACGAGGTCAGTAATAAATACGCCAGGCTGCTACAAGGGAACGGCGCGTCCCCGGGAAATTTGATAGGGATTTGTTTCGATAAATGCCCTGAGGCATATTTTGCGATATTGGCCATATTGAAAGTTGGCTGCGCGTATGTTGCTCTCGACCCAGGGGCCCCAGAAGCGAGGAAGAAATTCATTTTGAACGATTCCGGAGCCAAAATTTTGCTTTCCACGACATCGAAGAAAAATGAGCTGAAAGGGTTGCCTGTTTTAATTTTGGATAGTCCGGGAATTCTGGACGGTATACCTTCTCTGCCTCCAGTTCTAGAAGAGGAAATACAACCAGGGGACTGCTGTTACTGCCTGTACACTTCGGGAACAACAGGCACTCCCAAGGGCTGCGAAATAACACATGACAATGTTGTCCAGGCTATGCTCTCTTTCCAACGACTATTCCATGGTCACTGGGACGAGACATCTCGGTGGTTACAATTCGCAGCGTTCCATTTTGATGTCAGCGTTCTGGAACAGTATTGGAGTTGGAGCGTTGGAATATGTGTAACAGCTTGTCCTAGGGACACAATATTTGCGGATTTGCCTGGCACCATTCGAGAACTCGAGATCACTCACATTGACTTAACTCCCAGTTTGGCACGCTTGCTTGACCCAGAAGAAACTCCCTCACTTCGTCGTGGAGTTTTTATCACTGGCGGAGAGCAGCTTAAACAAGAAATTCTCGAAGCTTGTGGTGAATACGGAGTGATATATAATGGATACGGCCCGACAGAAGTAACTATTGGCTGCACGATGCTCCCTCGAGTGCCGCGAAATGGCAAACCGTCAAATATTGGCCCACAATTTGACAATGTCGGTAGCGTTGTGTGCAAACCAGGAACTCCGATACCAGTCCTGCGGGGTGGCGTAGGGGAGCTTTGTGTTACAGGAGCCCTTGTAGGACGAGGGTATCTTAACCGACCTCAGCTCACGGAAGAGAAATTTCAATATGTTAAAGAAATGGGTGAACGGATTTATCGCACTGGAGACCTAGTGCGACTTCTCCATGATGGCAGTTTTTGCTTTCTTGGACGGATCGACGACCAGGTCAAACTTCGTGGCCAACGCCTTGAAATTGGGGAGATCAACCAAGTTATTTCCAATTCTGCAGAGGAGGTGGGAGAAGTCGTTACCATGGTTTTGAAGCAAACAAGTCGGTCAAAAGAGCAGCTTGTGTCATTCTTCACCACGAATACGCCCAAAAACCCCGATGCGTTGACATGCCGAATCGATTTCGATCCTGGAATGAATAAAATCCTTTCCGAAATCAATCAAGCATGCCATAAAACGCTGCCAGGTTTCATGATTCCGACACATATCCTTCCTGTAACCGTTTTTCCCTTAAATGCAAATAATAAAATTGACCAGAGACATCTGAAAAAAATCTATGAGGATATGACTTTGGAGGAAATGCAGCGGCTATCCTCGCAGACTCAAATGGATTCCCAAACACCATCGAAGGATGTATGCGCAATAATGGCTCTCGTGTCCAAAGTTACAGGGGTAGAAGTCTCTGCTATCTCACCATGGTCAAGCATATTTGAACTTGGCTTAGACTCCATTTCCGCCATCTCATTCTCTAGGATTTTGAGAGATTCGGGATTTAAGGCAGCTCAACCATCTTTGTTAATGAAGAGTTAGTATTTTTGCGGCGAAGTGTATGCCCCTATTCCTTTTGTCCTCAATAACTAACCTAAAATAGATTCAACCATCATGGCACTTTCCAGCGCACTGAAACGATCCGCATCAAATGAACTCACTAAAAAGGCGTTGTATCAAGAATCTAGACAACGGATTACAGCATTCGCCCATAGGAATCTTACGCTCGTTGCCCGCAAACTAGGGACTCCCTTAGCATCCATCGAAGCAGTCGCTCCTTGTACATCCCTACAAGAGGGTATGATATATCGATTTATTGAAAGCCAGAAGCCGGTATACTTCACAAACTTCAATTTTGAGTTGTCACCGATCGTTAATGTTTCTCACCTCAAAACTGCGTGGCTGAAAGCCCAGAGTTCTGTACAAATACTTCGAACCAAATTTCCATTAACGGCTGGCCACTATTCCCAAGTTATCCTTAAACAAGATTGTTTTCCGTGGTTTGAATTAACAGCCATCAGTGATGTCGAAGTTGGAAGTATCGCCAACGGCCGATATAAGGAGTGGTGCAGTGAACCTGCAAAGTTGACTGGGAGAGTTTGGGAAGTCGGTGTCGTCATAGGGCCAGGGACAAGATGGATGTGCTTGAATATTTTCCATGGATTATACGATGGAAACTCCTTACCACTTTTATTCAATATTGTTTTACAAGCATATATTGACCATACAAGTGCACCGGCAACACCGTCATATATTGAATGTCTGGCCCGAGGTCCCCTATGCAAAATACCAGGAGCGAAGGAGTTTTGGCTTAAACATCTTGATGGCCCTCCAAAACCGCTACCATTTATAAGCGACGCACACGAAGGTGACCCATTGGTCACAATACAGGGAATCGGAAAGTTAGAGAAACTTGAGCCATTAAGACGAAAGCTCGATGTGTTAGAGCAATCTGTACTCTTAGCATGCTGGGCTTCGCGTCCTCGAACGACATTTCAAGTTCATTCCGATTGTTGGTGTCATAGTATCAGGCAGGGCACACGATATCAAAGACACCGAAGATATCGTTGGACCAATGTTTAATACCCTTCCCTGCAATATCTCATGTTCAAAGATTTTCTCCATGGCTGATTTGGTGAGATGCTGTCAAGAGTATTATATCTCCACGCTCCAATACCAACACACCCCTCTCAGAGATATTATGAAATGGATGCAACGGAGATCTGGAATCCCTCTTTTCGACAACCTATTTGTCTTCCAAAGGGAACCCAATGAAAAGGTTGACTCGGCAGGTTCACTGTGGTCACCGATAATTTCCCAATCTGAACCCGACTACCCAGCAGCCTTTGAGGTGCAGCGGGACAGGGATGGCTCTTTGACAGTAACTCTTGTGACACAGGCTTCCAGTTTTACTACTGAAGCTGCACAGCAACTTACTTTGCAGTTCCGTGACACGCTAGTTGACTTCCTAGATAATCCGTCCAGCAAGCTGAATCTTGCCACACAGGGATCGGATAACTCCGAAATTGGAAGAGCTGGTGATCACAATATTCAACCGCATACTAACGGCTACACCTCCAATTTCTCACTTCTACCTTTTGAGTGGACGGCCATGGCATCTCGACTTCGTGAAGAGATCGCATCGGTTGCCAATATAGATGCTCTCGCAATTCAGGAAAACACATCTATTTTTGAAATTGGGTTAGATAGCATTGATGCCATCCAACTATCTTCCCGCTTGGCAAACGCTGGCATCAGAGTGACCGTTACTGCGATTATGCGCGGCCAGACCATTAAAAACATCCTGCATGATATTGAATCAAACGAACCGAATGGAGATGTCAAACCACAGGCTTCGTTGGAGGTGCTAGAACAAGAACTGCGGAATTACTTTGAGAACGACCGATTCGATCTAGCTCAGATCGAACGTATTTTGCCGGCTACACCTCTTCAAGAAGTAATGGTCGCTGAGATGGTCGCTTCTGACTTTAATCGCTACTTTAATCATGATATTCTCGAGATCAAGGACAATGTGGACATCGATAAACTAAAAAGGGCTTGGGAGCAGGTTGTTGATGCCAATGCGATCTTTCGAACCTCATTCGCTGAATTCCCTGATCCTCGTTTTCCGTTTACCTATGCACAATTAATTCACCACCCTGGGAAACCAATGGACTGGAGCGTGGTCGACACGATCGGTAGATCCGTTGATACCATATTGGAAGAGGAGCGGCGGAAAGCAGCTGCTGCCTTTCTGGCGGGGAAACCGCTATTCAAGGTCCAATTGCTAAGCTCAGTAAATGAAGGACAAAAAAGGCACTTGCTTCTCTCAATGCCGCATGCGATGTACGATGGCTGGTCATTAGATCTTCTCAATGAGGATATGCGACC